CATAGAATATCATCAATAGAATTGTGCACTGGGCAACATAGAACAAAAAGTAATTAACCTTAACTATGATTTATTTCTCCAAAAAATATGATGGTTGTCACTAAAATATTCCTTTCTGTTTCAGGTATGTTTTTATGATCTTTTTTGTTATACAGCAATCCCTTGATTAGCACGGTTTTGAATACCGCGGTTTTGATTAATGCGGAAAAAAAATTGCGACCTAATCTTAATCTACGCGGTGCCAGTTTTGATTAGCGCGACTTTTTTTCACAACGCATCATTTTCCCGCCTCTAGCCAGAGGTGTTACGTTCGTAACAAAAGTGTTCCTTTTTGCTTATTAGATCTTATGTTGTTACTTTTGTTATGACTTTTGGAAAAATTCGCCAAATGTTGTTACTTTATGAATTTCAGCCAATAATTATTTAAATAACGTCCCGTTCCGTAGACACTCGTGCTGACTACAGAGTCGGTTTAACCGCGCCTTGTCTCGTTCATAACTCGAATGGTCGAGTTCGGCAATGTTCGCCGGTAAGTGCGCCATGCCAGTGCTCTAGTTACTCGTTAGCCTTCAACTGGTCAAGATCGCTGCCAAATCTACTGCTGATTTTTATCAAACTACATAATTTTCCTTGATAAATTACTGTCATAATTATGGACAAAAAGGGAACGCTTAAACGTAAAAATATCACTTAGGAGACTAATTAACTGCACAATTATGCAGGAGAGAAAGAAATCTAATACTACTGTGCAATTGAAATTGGATTCGTTTTTCAGTAAAAAATAAATGTTAATTCATTTGCATTTCTTTCATTTATTTCCTCTATTATTTAGAAAAAAATATGATGAATTTTAGTGGAAAAAAAATTATTATGTAACTTTGCTATTTTTGAGGATTCATTATAATTATTCCCATATATTCTTAAGTTTGATTAGCGCAGTTTTGCTTAGCACGGTAAAACTTGGGGATTTATTAACCGCATTAATCAAGGGATTGCTGTAGTTAATTCACTTAACCCAATTAAAATGGTATAAAATTACAAGCCATCCTGTAAGCTTACAGATACACTAGAAATGCTATATGACTGCTTATATGAAGCTTGCAGTGGATAAGGTCGTTGTAAATGCTCAATAAGCATGTTTATGGATAGTTAGTAAGTTAGTTAGTTTAGTGGCCAAAGTTTTTCTAACGCTTCAGCTATTAAGCTATCTCGCACCGAAAGTCAAGATGAACATCACCATAGAGGTGGAAGGTCTCAATTATTCATCTCTCAATTATTCATCACCCACAAGGGGCGGAAGGTCTCAGATGTCCAGCCCGCTGAAGCTGGCTTGAAGGAAGCAGCGTTAGCATCTCAAAAGAGATGAAGTGACAAGGAGGGACAGGTGAAAAGCAATAGAAACGAAGACACTCAAACAAGAGGTCGCTTACATGGGACGTCGGCCGCCCGCACGAGAGAGACAGAGAAGGGAAATGTAAGGAATCCTACCTACATAATAACTTGACCCACAACTGAGACCTGCAGTCAGACACCGCGAGCTCAGCGGTGGGGCGCTCAGGAACAATCCCCTAGGAGCGTGAAATCCCATAGGACTTCTGATGGGTACAGACACCCGTCAGTAGTCCCCCCTGAGGGGATGTTTATGGATACAGTAATATCACATCAATGATACAGTAATGTATGGATATGGTAATGGGTATATCAATGAAGCAAAAACAAGTAAAAATCACAGAAAATGTCATTTATTCTACATCTACATCATATACAAAAGAAGAGGAGGACTTCAGAGTACTGTTAGTAATGGTTGAGTACACTCTATATGCTTCAAACATTTTAAAATTGAGTTTTATTTCAAGTGTCCCAAATTAGCTTGTTGCCAGGGCTAATTCAGGATGCTTTCATCTTGCATCTGGCACCTTACGAATAGCATATGGAATTTTTTGGGGATGCCATATGATAGTCCTTGCAAAATCATTTAAAATGAGCCCAAACTTGTTTATCAAATTTTTCATAGTAAAAAGTTATTAACGAAAAATGCTCAAAACTGTCCCTTATTACCCTATTTAATGGTATATCTTTCTAGGCAGGTTTAGAAAATTTTACTTTTTCCTGAAATACCATATAACATCATTTTGATGGAAAGGAAATCTTGCAGCTTCAAAGTTACGTAGCCTCAGTATTAGGCCTTTGATGGCCATTGACAAAATTTATCTATGTCGAATCGTTTTTGAGTTTTGGGGGTTTTTGTTAAAAAAACGAAAAGTGGTCAAAGTTACCCCGCCTGTCAAAGTAACCCCATTTTATGGTATGGAATTTTTTGGGGATGCCATACGATAGTCCTTGCAAAATCATTTAAAATAAGCCCAAACTTGTCTATCAAATTTTTCATAGTAAAAAGTTATTAACGAAAAATGCTCAAAACCATCCCTTATTACCCTATTTAACGGTATATCTTTCTAGGCAGGTTTAGAAAATTTTACTTTTTCCTGAAATACCATATAACATCATTTTGATGGAAAGGAAATCTTGCAGCTTCAAAGTTCTGTGTTTTTTCTTCAATTAGAGACATTTTTGCTTGCAGATTTGTAGTTCCATACAGTTATAAAATTTTGCTGGTCAGTACCCTGCTCCTGGCGAAATATCGTCTGATGTGATTGTACCAAAACATTTTTGTGATGATCCTGTAGTTGGTAATGTTAGAGTGCTTTATAACGTATTGTTTCTTCAACAAAAAATTGAAAAACATATTAACATATGCTTACTTGCCTCTGAAGTGAAGAAAATGAATGGAACTCTAACTGTCATCCCTATGCCTATAAAGAGTATTCACATCCTAAAAAATTCATTCATGGCTCAAAAACTGGTGAAATTACAGCTCCAAAAATTTTTTGACAGCTTGTGCAGTATGGTAGAGGTTTTTCACACTAGCTTTTAGGCCAGTATTGGCATCACTTCTAGTTTTCCATCACCATAGGCTATCTTGGCCTTAAATTGGTATCAATGATGAAATGCAATTCCAATCACAAACATTCAATTGATCTAACAATGTGATAGGAAATTTATCAATCAACATGGTGAAGTTTTGATTGATCAATTGATCAGTCAAAATTTCATTGTAAGATTTTCAAACAATGTCATTCAAATAATGAATATTCAAGGTTAGTGGTGATGTTTTGTGTCTGAAAAGAGCAATCTTGACACCTGGCACTTGATCCACAGGTGTTAATTGGGTTCTACCACCTGCTTTGATCGCCAACTGTCATCCATAGCAATCTTAATGCATCTCTTAAAGTTCATATCAGTCATTCACCATTAGCTGTATCAATCATAAGTTTTGGTCTATGGAAAAGTGTAATTGCTGTCTGCCTTGATTATAATTTTGGCGTCTTTGTGGCAATAAATTAGGCATCCTTGACCATTCACATTGGCATCCTTGTTTATTCACAATCTGGCTGTTGATGAACTGAAGAGATAGAATTTGCAGATCATGCAGATAAAAATAAATTAATCTTAATACAACAATGTTCTGTTAGAGAAAAGCTATGCTCTAAAATTTTCTGTTCATTTTTGGCAACTCCATGAAACGCAGCTGTATAAGTAAATAAAGGAAAAGTATGTTCCAATCAACAAGATGGCATTGGTATAAATTGAGATTCGTTTGTTTTCCAAACATGAGTTGTCTGCATCAATCAGTCTGCTGAGCATGGCGATGAGCATGAAAGGTCTACCGTGTATCCAAGACATAATTGATCAGTCAACCATTCTTATTTTGTTTCACACATTGTTTGAATCGTAGATTCAAAAAAATTTGATTTTGTTTTGATCCACACATTCAAATGTGGATTTATATATAAATGCCTAAATTAAATAGGGTTGAATCTATAGATTAGTGTTCATATATTTCGATAAATCCACCTTGATGTGTGTTTGTCTTAAAAATTTAAGCTTGGTACAGTTTTTTCATCTAATATTCCTTGTTTATCTTGAAAAGCATTGAAAATAATTGTTCAAAACTGAGAGCCACGTCCCCTATGTTAACTAGTGTGTATAAGTGATAACAATATTACTTAGGATGCGATATGGTCACAATACGCGGACAATAGTGTCGTCAAGATCAGGTCTTTAGACCCAAATTTTTGCCTGATACTTATCTGTAGTGTTAATTCATCTTAATAATTATTTCAGGTTTAATATAATCATCACTGAACATGTCTTCTCCTGGAGTACAAAAGCAGGTGAGTCCTGCTGCATTATTATAAAGTATTTTGGCTTGTTACGTATTGTGTTTTTCCTGCTGTTTAATGTTGTGAAACGCTGAAATTAATTGAAGGAGGGTTTATAGCACTAATGCCGTTGATGTGACAGATTTACTGGCTTAATATCGTCGGTTATGTTGCTTACCAAAAATACTTGTCTAGTGCCTAATTGACTTTTTCCTCACTTACATTTACTCAGTTTTCTCTTTGTGAATCTCGAACTGACCCAAATCCTTACAAGTAAATATTGTGGCGTATGTAGGTTTTCCTTGCGCCACAATTTTGTTAGTACCGGTATTGTCATCACATCGTCGGTTATTTCTCATTGCATCACCTCGGTTTCGTTATTTGTACTCTATCTGCCCAGTAGCACAGCCTGTGCGCCGCATTCTATGGCTTTACAAGTCCTGCTGCGATTTTAAATGAAATTTTAACTCTCAATTTTTGTATATAGGTACTCGTCATTGTGTAATATTTAGAGCTCTACGTTATCTTCAGCGCTGTGTTATATATCTCCCCTCATTCGGTTTTGCTCATGTCATTTGTGTCGAGTTTATTTCCCGTACTGTGATGTCGTGTTGTTGCTCATTGAATAATTGTTTGATCAAGCCTACCTCACCGATCCCGCTGCAACCTGAGCGAGCTGCCCATAGCTGGCAGGTCTGCATCGTATTTTTTTCCAGCAGCAGTTGCCGTCGTCGGTGCACGTCGACTGCTGCTCTAGGTAGCCTTGGTTGCCTCGGGCAGACAGCCCGCCATTCGCGGTGCTGCTGCAGCTCTGCCAACACGTTGCCGCCGTTCACTCCGCCTTTCACGTTGCCAGAACGTTCACGTTCAATATTTCTGGTCGATACAAGTGTTGGCTTCCTGGTGCTCTGTGTCAACTCTGTTAGTGCTCTTCTGTAGCTACTGGTTTTTGTGTATTTGTTCTACGAATGTTGCTGAAAATCTTACGTTTAATTCGATTCATCCTGAAAATCGCGACTGCGTAGTCTCAAATTTTCAATTGCAGTGGCTTTTGATTTGGTGATGCTGTGGCTTTTTGGCATCTGTTCTAATATCGTGAAAAGAAAACGTATTGCATTTTTGACGTTTCAATATGTTAAAAAAAGAAAAATCTCCATCGTCGCGATCGTTGTACATCGCACTATTTGGAGCGATACGCCGCCGCCAGCAGCGCGGATCTCCCTTCAGACGAGAGGAGCTTGAGAATCTGCTCGCTCACCTGCCCCACCACCACCGTCGGAATTTTGCTGATCTTGTCGAGATTTTGCTCAAAAGAGAAGCACATCGACTGAGACAGACGGGAGCTCACACTAATGGCTCGTCTTCTTCCTCAACCAATGTTCCTTGTTCTGTGAACGCTAACAACTGCAACCAAAGATTAACTATAAGGCGAGACTTATATCGGCCTTGCGCCACTCACGGCGATCGATCTATCGCATCTTGCTCAGCTACCTCTTCTGAATGCACATCTAATTCGCGTACTCCACTCACAGAAAACCTTCGACTCAACGACGAGCAAGTCGAAAATATAGAACATCTTGCATCACCTGCAACCAGAAGCTCTGAAAACAGATCATGTGCGACTCCATTACTGCGTTTGCAGAATGTAGTGTCGACTACTGAACGTATCCTTCCTCAACGAAAACATTATGTTCCTGGTAATCATAGAGCGCTAAAAGAAGGCCCATCAAGAATACATTTGGTTCGTTCATCACGTCCAAGACAAAACTATTTTCGGTCTTTGTCAGCTTCTGGAGCAGTTTTAAATACAACGTTGCCAGGCAAATGCAACCATTGGAGCTCGTCGTTATCGAATAATGCTAAGACGTCAAGCTGTGATGCTGGTATCACGGCCTCAGCAGTGCTTCTCAATGATGCGATGGCTAACCCTTTTCTGCGTGTTTTTGGACAGGCTGCCGACACCAATACTGAAGCAGCAACGCCCGTCACTAGTTCGTCTTGTGAGGCAACGCGTTCACCTTCTCCATCCCGTGAGTACCTTTATTAAGAAATATTTGAACCTTGTTTTGCGTGTTGATTTTCCATTATGATATTAGCACTCAGGCTATAATTTAAGCGTATAATGTTATCATCTTGACGATATCAGAACACTTCTGTGTGGGATTATTATTATGTTCTCAGCAGAGTGCTATCTGTGATGTTCTCAGCACTGTGCTACTTATGATGTTTCTAGCACAGTGCTATTTGTGATGTTCTCAGCACAGTGCTACTTGTGATGTTTTTAGCACAGTGTTACTTGTGATGCTCTGAGCACAGTGTTACTTCTGATGTTCGGAGCACAGTGCTACACGAATTGTTTTCAGTAAAGTCCTACTTGTGATATTTGCAGCACCGTTATATACCTGTGGTGCTCACTGCAAATGCACTGTTGTACAAATTATTCGCTTCTGAAACAGGCCTTCGTTCTCGCAAACTTCTACTTATTATTTTATATGTGTGGGGTGCCAATTCCAGTGGGTATAAGTTTTTATTGTCTCAAGTTCAATCCATTAACTTTCATGTGTTCTTTGTTGTCTATCTTGAAATGAAGATTTTTTCTTTTAGTATGCTGGCTTTCTAAAGATGCGTTCCTAATAGGTCGGTATCATTGCTGTCATTGAATGTTTCATTCTAAGAAAGTTATTTAGCCTCAAAAACCATGATTCATTCACGAAAGAATATTTTTCCTACGCAAAGAATGGAAAATATTCTTCGCTTGGATGGTTGACTGACGGAATCACGCGGATTCCGTGTACCTACTTGAAAATTCTAGTCCTGGCCGTTTCCATTGGTTCTCTTTTTGTGCATATTTTCGTCCAAGAAATCATCGTGAATGATGTGGCAGAATTTGCTGCGCCCTTGTTATTATAACGCGTTGTAGAGTAACAGTGTATAGTGTTCGTAAGCTTGGCCAATGGCTCTTTAACTGTAAATTGAGCGCGTCAGCGAGAGCGCTCTTTTTGGCCTTGGTTGAGGCCCCGTTGTATACTGTGTGACCTATCGGGTCTACCTTTAAGTTGCAAACTGAACGGAACTCTTGTGTCGTTAGTACTTCTGTGTACGTTACTGTATTATTTACGTCCATATAATTCGACGAAATAACGAGAATTACTATCTTTCTAGTCCTGAAGTCTGAAATTGATTGCGCATGCTCCAATATTGATAGTTAATCTGAAATTACATCGCCCCATTTGCTTTCTCCATGTAAATCTGATCACTTACGATTTTCATCACACAACAAAAGTATTCAGTTTTTGACCAAATTAACCCCAAATTTTCAACGGAAGTGTTCGTGCAGTTTCTGCGTACTTGCATTCCAGTGTGGAGGAATAAACTGCGCAGCATCGTTGCTCTCATGCAGGATAGAACGTTTTTGCATTCCATGCCCGTCTGTTGTTGTTTTTTCCACTCGAGCATCTGCTACGCTGACTGAAGTTTTTCAGTCCTGATGGAACCAAGGAAGTGAATTGTTTTTTATTGTCTCGAGTGGAATTCGATAACTTTCATGTTTTTTTACTGTCTTCAGTCTAAGGTCTCATGTAATGAAATATTTTATATGCTTTTATCTGCTATTAAAGATTGGATTATGAAACATCGATTGGCTTACAGCGAAAATAAAAGATTGGATTGTGTTGCATCGGTGGGGCGTCGACTGCTCAGTGGAAACCAGTTCAATCTCGACGCATTCTCCTGTGTGTAGATAAATAGTCTCGCCTGCCTGCATATCTTGATCGATAATGTAGTACTGGTTGAGCAAGTCCCTCAAAATATTCAGTCACTATGCAAAGAATTAGTTCTTTTATTGGCTAAAGCTCTGCGATTATTCCTCATCGCAGTGTTTTTTAGGAGTGAAATTTAAGCTTCGATTTATTCATAGTTACATTTACTTTTAGTCATTGGGCATTCTACGTTAGTTTCTGCTTTTATGCGAGTCATTGTTGGTGTACAGACGTCGTCTATCAGGATGTCTGGGTTCTGTAACACACCTGTGTTTTTCTCAGACACCCCTACTATCTTATGACACATTTCTAAAAGACATTTCTAACGACACATTCTAGAGCGTTCAGCAGCTGCATGCTGCTGCAAACCGCCGAGTTCCGGTGCAATCTGGTTGAGGGTTTACGCTTCGGTGGCTCGTGCGATCCCTCGCGCGCTGTCTCGCCTTCGATCTATTCCCAGAAGTTTCAACGCATACTTCCGAGAAATAGCTTTAATTTATTATTGCATTTTCATTTTGAGTTGGTAGGATAGAACCAAATATCGGTGTATTCCTATTGGATGAAATTAAAAAAAAAACTGAGTGGATTTTTGCAATTTAGTTGCACTGAGTGATATTTTCCTGTGTCGATTCCTTGGCTTTTATCTGGCGAACGATTCTTATTCTTGTTAAAAGCCTCGGTTGCTGCAGGTACTGCGCAATTGACAATTCCAAACCAGAAATATCCGCTGTCTTCTCGAAGCCATTTATTGCTTGCTCTTAGCATATTGGCTCTCGTTCAATGCAGTCTACGGAGAAATGGTATTACAGGCAGTGATGTGATGCAAGGTCAAACTTATTTATTACTTCAGGGCTCTTTGCTGGCCAAAAAACCGGTTCATACTCGAGTTACTTAGATGCAACCGATTCTGTTTTTAATTCCGGAGATGTTTTCTTTGGTGCGGCTACAGCGACTTCCCTATGTTATTCATGATCCAGATTTACATACTGCGTCTTTTTATTACACTCTAATTGGGCCATGTACTCGTACCTTTGTTATTGTTCGTCTTGAATGTAATTCTGGCTCTATATGATTGACTCGGCTCAATTATTTCACAGCCTTTGATACCTTCAATGCATCTACTCAGAATCTTGACCAACTAAAGGAGAAATAAAAATTTGTCTTTATCTTAACACAATTCTTTTTGATTATCAGTAAATTATTGCATTTACTGTTCTCATTTGATCGCACTTTTTTCGCACTGAAAGAAAGAATGATCGAGGAAATCGTTTTGCCAACCGAATTATGGTATGTGTTCTGCGTTAAGCACTAAATTCACAAAGCATTCAAATTAAAAAAAAAAAAATTCAAAAATTGTAAATTCATTCATAAATTGTAATAAATTCAATTCATTGTAAACAAAACAATTATTGTTCACCCCAAACCTTCAGTCTCTCGATTTATTTTTAGAAGAAAATCTTGTTGGACTGGACTAAGACGTACCTATTCTTTAGAGTCTTCGCCATAGCCAGTAGTCGTCATGCTAGTTGTACAGACACATTACCCGACATCTTTTATTTATGGACCACTTATCACCGTTATCTCCGCAAAATCTCACTCAAGCCTCAAAGGAAAATTCCTAGTCAAGTCATTGCCATAACGTGGAGTGTTTATCTTATTGTTGTGTCTGGCCCGCGCTTATTACCTTGTGAATGAAGGCGCTAGAGACATATAGTTAGTTGAATAGGAAAATTCCCACGAATGGAAATGCGCAAATGGAACTTTATGTCGGGTTTTCGGGAATCTCACAGTATTAACGAAAATGATATCGAATTCATATGCGCTGTGTATGGTGTTTTTTACGGTTGATTTTGAGTTATGATCAGGACAGATCTTTCCGGATTCCACCCACGTATTATTTCTCAGTTGTACGCACAAAGAACTAGTAATAAATTAGATTCTATGATAACTCTGCTAATAAGCGTGCTGAAACTGTCGTTCTCAGAATAGCAGCAGGCTGACATGACTTCCCATTAAACATTCTTAGAGTTGACAGTCTTCAGCATGACAAACGTCATCCATGAAAGCTTGATTCTTATTTACACCCTGGGTCCGTGAACTTCGATCTAGTAAAGAGCGCTCTTTTAAAGGCGCGCTAAAGAGGATCTATTAAAGAGCGCTCTGAGACATTTGATTTCAAGTTGCACTCAGGCTCACTCGTCTCGAGTTGATCAATTATCTGGTCAACCGAGATTCACTGACGTATCACTTTTTTCTAAACATTTTATGACGTTTCTCGCGTAGATTTGGGTATGATATTTACCGATGTTAAATTATGATCATGCCTGTTTGAGAGATCTTCAATATCCTCATTTGAGGTTCCTGTTTGTTGAAACTATTTCCCAAGCGAACTGTTAAGAAACATTACGTGAATGGAAAACCTAATAGAGCTGTTGGGCAAGAGCTGTTGGCTCGACAGGGCACATAATAATTTTATTGATATCATTCTGGACCATTATTGTTGATGAAACTCGTGAATAATTATAATTGATCCACAAATCCTAATATTGAAGGCATGTAGAACAAGTTAATCACTGCTCGCTTCTCGTACAATGTTGCACCTTCTCCAAATAGTGTAAGAATTGAGGTATGATTTACTTCAATTTAGGTATAAATATATTCACATTATATATTTTCTTCCATTCATTGTTTGCTTTAGACCAACTGACGTATTGCTATTATCTAAAATTTCTGAGCGCTCAAGGAAGGAAAGCTTTTCAAGTCTAAATCCTTGAATGATGTTATCTTTTGACTCAGAACATTCAGTGTGCATTAAATAGTCATATCATAGTTGAAGACGGAGAGCGACCTTGGTTTTATCTCATTACCCCACAAGTAAACTTGAGTAACAATTTGAGTTCGGCTTGTGCTCACGTGCTCACTGTTAGCTGTCATCATCGCTCAGCTGTGGCAAGAATAGAACCAACGCCAGCCCGCTTTACTATCTGACTATAAATGACAGGCTCGTGAATATTAATGTGCCTTATTTTACGAGATAAAGGCGGATTCTGCTGGTAATGCTTTGACGCTTGTCTGATAACCTGTCAGGCCGATCCGCCCTGTGATCTTGTACCGGTAGGAATATGCCAGAATTATCTGGATAATGTCTGGGAACACTAATTTTGTGCATCATTTCCGGGGTTTGGTTCCAATGCCAGACATCAAGCGCAAGTTCCGTCCTTGAATAAGACGGAACCCAGCAGAATCGCAGTTTTGTTTTTTGTTGCATTGACATTTTTAGCGCATTTTCTCACTTATGGAAAAAAGGCGCTATTGTGCTCGTCATGTCCGTCCGTCTGTCCGTCCATGACCCCACGTTTTCGTCGACGAGAAAATACGCTCTCTGTCACTCACTGCAGTGAGTACTGAGTTATATTTTTTGTTCTTTTGTTTTTACGATGATGTATAAACTTTCGCTGGAATTTAGGGTACGTATTGCGTAGAGTTCATTAGTATGGATGTAAGCACTGTGTTGCTTAACAAAAAGTTTCAACACGCACGCACAAACATTTGCCCGAGGAGTGACTTTCCTAATAATTTGAATGAATTGCATCGATTTTTAATTCTAAATTAATATCTACGGTGCTAAACGCAATTTGTTTTTCATGTTTAAAAAAGTGACGCTATTTTAAAGCTGTATTTGCGCATTTCTTTGGAGTCACACAACTTGCCGAGTCGCTAAGTTTGCTGCTGATGTCATGCGGACATGACGCAATTTCCGGGAAATTTACAAGGCATCACAGGTCATGCGAGCTACTATTCAACTACTTAATGCTTATGATGCTGCGGCCAGAATTCTGCTATTACATTAAGTATGGGACTATATGAGCTCAATTTATTCGAACGCGTTTAGGAATAATCACTAGCGGTTATGCTTTTTCAACGAGGTATATTGTGCAACAGCCACGTTTTAATACTCGTATTTCATGTGATGAATTTCGTGTATTGATGTTTGTTTGGTTTTCTTTATCTGATTCCTTTTAGGTTAACTTGTATGGAGCTCTTTTTATTTATTTTATTGCTTATTTCCAGTGGGTACGATTTTACTGCCCACCAATCTCGGTGTATAATTTCAATTGCAGCCGTTTTCAGTACTAGTTAAGTTAGCGCATTCACCTTGAAAATTTCTCATTTGCTCCATATTTACTGTCCGTTCTTCCTCTCAGCTGCAGCCGACAGCAGTGAAATCAGCAGCAGCAACGGTTGCAGTTCTGTCAACGCGGTGGGCGATGCAAGCAACGGAGGTGTAAGTAGCAGCAGCAGCAACGGCAAATCCGTTACCGCAGCAGCCGCTGCTTCTGGCATCACAACCAACCAAAACGTCATCAGCAGCAACCACAACTCTGTTGTCTCCACCTCCAGGAGTAGCGACAAGCACAATAACTCTGTGGAGGCCTTAAGCTCCACGTCTTCCACAAACCCTTTTTCCCGATCGCATGGCGGCTCGCGATGCGGTAACGATAGCGCCACGCCTCAACCGCCACGACCCATCCTTGCGCCCTCCAAACTCGGGGGATTCAACAGCTCCGTGTCTTCGTCGCCGCTCGCGCCCGCACGTCTCGCCAGGCCCGTCGTGCTCGCTCCCCCGACGCTCTTTGGGGCATCGTCGTCTAGTTCCCTGCGCGCCGCTTCTCCTCTCACTGCCGAGCCCCAGGCGAAGTTCAAACTAAAACCTTCAATTCTTGGTTCTGCAGTCTCCATCAATCCATTTAGCAAAGGTATTGTTCCGCAAGTTTGCTTCAAAGGAAATTTGAAAAGTATCTAGGAATAAATTAAGGTCTTCTAATAATTGAAAAAACGCACGAAATAATACTATTCTAGTTTCCATCAAACTTTTTTCTTCACTTTCCTTAGATACCAAATTTCGAACGGTAACAAAATTTCATATTGGACTCGTGATTAAGCCTCTCATATATAGATGATAGCAAAAAATAATTGTTTGCTTTAATATATAAAAGTGAACTGAATCACTGGTTCGCTCGTATACACTATGCGAGAATTTTTGAGGTTACCTATCTTAATTGTGTTGAAAATAAAAAATCTAGTTACCTCTCACGAGCGTACAGATTCTCTAATATTCTGAGGCTCCATGACATTTATAGTTATTTTCTTTCACCCTCGCTAAAATTTGGTTGAGCTCCTAATTACATTAATAGTTTTTCTGACTTATTTAATCTAAATTATTCATTCGACTTGAATGTTCTAGTAGTGATGTAGGTATTAAAATAAACGTTTCCGTTCCGTTGTTCCGCTTTGTGTTGTAATCCTTCGAACGTTTTTCAACTGTTCAGTTTATACTAAATTGTTCTTGTTTTCAGCGCCGGCCGGGGACCTGGAGCTGGACACTCCTGCAGGAGACGCGTGTAGTTCTACGTCAGGAAGCAGCTCTGAACCCTCGTCCGCTAAGTGCTCGGTCTCATCATCTGTCGCCTCTTCCACTAATTCTACTTCACTGGCATCGGACTCAGCAGCTCCAAACTCGGCTGCTGAAGCTAGTAATTGCACTTCTTCATCCACTCCTCCTCCATCTCCTCCAAACTCCACCTCCAGAAAAGATGAAGCGGTCAGCTCTATCGCAGCTACATCAGACGCACCTAAATCTTTATTTGGTGTCTTTGCTAAAGCGGAACAAAAAAGGCCTGTTGCTTGCTCGTCTCCGGCGCCTGCTAGCCAGCTGTGAGTTCTACATTTGAATCGCCTGAGCTTTTTTAAATCGGAGCTTTTAAACTATGATTTTGACAAAAGAAATGAAAACGCCAAGTGAATTCGTCATATTTACATAAAAAATCTGGTGAAGTTGGATGAAGATATGGTGAATTTACATAGCGATTTCTTTGCTTCCAAATTCTTTACAAATTTCCAATTCTTTATGAATTTGGATCGCGTTTTCTTGATGGGACGTACGCTGACTAATAATATAAGAACTGATGTAAATAATTAAGTTTCGCTTCATCCGTCAAATTGGCTGTGAAAGAATTTCACATTTATGTTCACAAAAATTGAATTCGTTAATCAAACGGAAAATTCGAATGAAACTAGTACATTATTAATGAACTATCTCAATTGTATGTGTTTGTGTTTAGTTATTAACATATCGCGTTGCACCAAATTATGCGTTATTCATTGGACTTATTGTTTGCAGATTACCCAGCAACGGTGTCAAGCCGTCTGTCTCTTCTTTTATCTTTGGCCAGAACCTACAGTCAAAGGTCGAGGTGAGGTCTCGCTATTTCTACTGACTTCAATACATAAATGAAACTAAGCGATCATGTTGTCGACTATGATCCGTTCCTCATTATTTGTAATATACCGTACGAAAGTGTATTTTACCTGTTTATGGAAGCTTCGTAGCAAAGTTCACATAAATTTTTTGGTACTTGCAGACGTCATAAATTACGTTTACGTGAATAACTTGTCAGTACCTAAGTAATAAAATCCAAGGAACGACTTGAATAACGGTCTTGTTTTTAGGGCAAAACCATTGATGACGACGGCTGTGAAGCTTCCTCCTCTACCGCCGAGATGTCCTCCTCTGATAACATTTTCAGCGCCGCCGCTTCTACCTTCGCATCGCAAAGGTATTGGGTTAACACCAGCCTAGTGGTCTTGCCCTTCGTTGTTCCGCTTATCGCAGGTTCTAGCAAATTATGAGTTCGAAAAAGCCATTATATTATTTATTTAAACACTATTTCCTTTTTTTAAATTGTTTCTATTTTGGAATGAATTTATTATCTTAATCTCTTCTTTTTTGCTTTATTGATTGTCATTAATTTCAGTTCGAGCAAAAACTGTAAAATATGTTTTTTCTCTGGCATTGCTGAAATCATGTAACATGAATAAGAATGCATTTGAATCGATACTAAATGCAAGCCTTTTCAATAATATGCGAAGTAAATGAATTACCGTGTCTTATCATTTGTCACCCTGCTCGCCGAAGATGTTAGTTACACTCGATTTTCTCTTTGCAGCGCGTCGTCCACGTTGAACGGCGGCCCGTCTAAAGACCTCGAAACGTCTTCACGGGAGTTGGCTGAAAAAGAGTCGAGTGGGAAACGCAAGTTCGAGCCCGTGCAGGTGCTGACCGGCGAGGAGACCGAGTCCAACGTCATGCAGATGAACTGTAAAGTCTACTGCTGGGTGCGTGGCGGGTGGCAAGAGAGAGGCCGCGGGGTGTTGCGTCTCAACGACTGGGGCAGCGGAGGAGAGGAGATGCACAGTCGTCTGCTGGTGCGCACTCAGGGAACCTACACAGTGATGCTCAACACCAACATCTGGGGCGAGATGGTCGTCGACAGGGCCAGCAGCAAGAGCATTCGCTTCACTGCTTCTGATCCTGACGGACAACCTGTTGTTTATCTTGTCATGGTTAGTTTTCAATTACAGAGTCATGCTCATTTGTAGGCCATTGTTTTCCGCTTATTTCAATAACTGACCAATTCTACTGCTTCAAAATAATCTACGTTACTGATACCACCATTGGAAATTATCACTGGATTTTTCAATATCTCGTTTATAAATCGCAAACTTTCTTGTAGAATGTTGTGCCCAAGCAATATAACTTTGCTGAAAATGTTGGTACTTGATCTCTGTATTTGCCTCCTAATCACGCCGGCAAACGAGAGAGAATTTTTAGAAAACAGTAAATTTTTAATCACACGAACTAGCTCGAAATTCTATTCAATATATGAATAGAATATGGATAATGCAGGTATCCATGATACCTTGTTGATGATTGATTTACTTATAGGACGCAGAGAGGAATGGGGTGAAATAGTCCCCGTTTTGCCAAATTGCCTCCTAATTGCAGTGTTTGTCCCCAGGGATTGCCTAAGGAGATCGACACGTTGCACAGCTCTCTGGAGTGGCGCATCTCGAACGCCAAGCGGCGAGAAAACAACAAGAAGCCTCGTGTCAATGAGGCCTCTGTTTAGTAAACACGCTTACTCTCATTCTCAGGGACGGATCATAGTTTTTCCTCGCTAGTTCAGCTTCAATTCAAAAAGTCTGCTCATGTCTGTCATGCGTGGCCATGTATTCTAAATTATCTAACTAGATGATAAGTTCTGTCAATTTTTGTTCATGATCGGAGTGATCAAGTATGTCATTATTATTTTTTCTGCTTGAGACACTTTCCAGCTCGGACACGCGTAGTTTCCTGCACAAATCGTGTTTATTGTTAACATTCAACTGTCTTTGTAAATATGTACTACAAAAAGACTTAGGACCATTCTTCGGTTCCAAGTTTGTACGCGTTCTTGAATGTTTTGATTTTCGGCAAAACATAGACCGTACCCAACCAAGCTGTTGATTTTTTTTTTCGCTTTATGTCGTGACGCGATCTTCTGCCGATCCATTTCAGTGCAAGTCGGAAAATTTTCTCTCGTTTCGTTGTAGCTACTTTTCACTAGAAGAAAAAAAAGTTTCGTTTGACGAGAGCCATCCAGAAATTTCCTCTCAATGCCTTGTTAATGGCATAAAATTCATGTGTAGTGTCAGTAGCTAGTAATCCACGTCCAAACCTTGAAATTCTATTGCGATTTCTAATATCCATCCTCTTGAGAAAATGGAGTTTTTTATACTTAATTAGTTGACAGCATTCATGGATGATGATTTGGAAAATATTTCGAAAGTCGGAAATTCTACTTTGTATTCTATCAATTTCCTATCATGCTACGATCCACTTTGCTTGGCCTATCGACTTCTTACCAAAGCTCCGATTGAGATTGGTGCTACGTTGTACGTTTCACATGCCGGTTGAACTATTTGTACAATTAAAGTGCATCCTATGGAAAGTAAACAAAAAAATTTTTAACTTTCATTGCCTATAATTTGGTTGCTCATCGCACATAACTGCTATTGTGATGATGTTTGTCACTGACACAAGAATTTAGAGAATGATACTTAATAATTAGTTTGCAAATTAGATTGCAATCTATGTTGAAACAATTTCCATTGAGTATCCGTTAAAGGCAGTTTCGTGTTTATGAAGGAAGTATTAAGTGCTTATGAAGTCTGACTGCTTTCATTGATTCACACAATTCAAACTTTTTGCTTCTGTTATTTCTTTGTCTTATCGCTAAGAACCTCTTATTGCCTTGATAATTTTTTAATTGGTGAAACATTCTCAAATAATAACGGTTATTTGATTACATGGCTAGTCCGTTGTTTGTTTACATGCCCGATTTATAATGTGTGTTTTTTTGCATCAGTCCATAGTTAGATGTAGAAGCCGTTAGCTCGTGCGGTCGACTGTATAAATTGTATTGAAAAGTCAAATGAAATAATTTCGACAGTTTCACTTATTACAGTTCTCTAATTCGGATAGTCTTTGGGTTTGTTCCATTAAATATTTCCATTGTCTCTTCGTTCAAGTGGATAGTTGCCAATACCACTCATTGTAAGAATTTTTTTGTTGTTGTATGTTCCCCCCTTGAAATTAAAATGACTTGTGTGTGGATAGCAATATCCACGAGTGAATTATTTTTCAGGAAAATTTTCATGTCCCACTTCGTTTACAAGCGCATTGATTTTTTTGTATTAAAAGGCGATTTTTTGGCGTTGGTTTTGCTGTGGTACGTGGCTAATTTGACTTGGTTTCGCACTGAAGTTGAAGCGTCAGGACATACAATTTTTCACCGGAATTTTTTTCTGTCTTGTACAATCTAGTTGGTATTTTTTACACTTGTCGAACTGAAGGCATTTCCTTCCTCATAAGTTTTCGCATCTTCCTTAGAGATTGAAACGAGCCTGAACTGAGGACGTATTTAGCAAGTTATGTTAGCATTCACACGATTGCATTATGCGAGTCCAAATGTGTGTTCATGCAAGAAATTGTTTAACATGAAGCAAGAAGTTGACGCTAGAACCTTACTGGTTAAAGGGCAACTATCTTAATGGATTAATTTTGAACATATCTTCAATATTGAAAGAAGTTAGACTCATTCTGTGATGGCTTGCAAAGGAAGCACACCAAACGTCTGACTCTTATAATCATTGTAAATATCGATGTACAGATACGTGGACTTACTTCATTTGTGGCGCTTTTGTGCGACGTTTTCACACGCAGTTCGGCTTGCGTTTTAGGAGAAGTCTGTACCAGAACGAGCCTCGAGTATTTGACGCACTTCTGGAAGCGTTTTTCAAGATGAGGGGATTGAAATGCTCTCTTTAAAACGTAAAATGTTTCTCACTTGCAAATTTTACTTCCATCTACGAGTATAAATATTTTCCTAATTTTTGACTGTGGAAATTAAATGACTACTTTGAAACCTAAAGAATATTTTCGACTGGAATATTTTTGGTGTGTGCACACAAGTTAGTTTAGTCGTACTTTTCTTTTTGTTATTCTAATTACTATACTTCTTTACATAAAATTCAGATAAAAAAATGTATTCTTTCAATCAATACCATCATTTTGATGGGTCTGATGTTTACTCCTATGGAAGCATTATTTATGTTTACCGTAAGTGTCGTTGGTTGATTAGTTAGGCGTTTCTTTTGTTATTGAATTTTTTGATGGTTGAAATGGTACTCCTTATTGCCTGCCATGCGAGAGCCGATAAGTTTAAGCAACCGAAATTGCCAATTTCTTTTTAAATACATTCCGTGAATGTAGTGACTTTGCTTCTTGGAATAATAAATCTGGTGTAACATTACACGGCGGTTATTTTTCCTTATTAGACCGGTTAAGAGTGTATGGTTCAGCGAAGTAACCACCACAGATACCAACACGCACGTGTAATTCCAGTACGAGGCAACACCCAGAAGAGCCCGAGAGATGAGCTGGGACTCTAAACAAATATGCGGCGCGGTCACGGCAATGTATTGCAAAATGTCTACAACAATCCCGTATAATGAAGGCCTGATGACGGCTCTAATGGAAGAGACGAGTGTTTAGAGACATGTTTTCTCAACGCTGGATTGACTAGTGGCCTTGTGTGAGGCTTATTTTTTGAAGAGCGAATTGAAAGAATGAACGCAGAGTGATATTTTATTCAATAAAAAAGTATCGAGTCTGTCGACCGATGACTTTATTTATGTACGTCCCATTGAAGACATGCCCCATAAAATCCTGTCACTTCTTGAAAATTTTCGAAACGAACGTTCACGTTGGCCATCGCAAAGACGCGCAGCATCTGTTCGGATTTTCACATTTGGTTGTTGAAGTCACTATAATTCAATTAAATCAAATGATTAATATTATTTAATTGAAGTGATCATCGTATCTTGAAGCCTTCACGATTCAGTTTGGATAAGTCAGCTATGACATATTACTGGGAACAATATTATTTCGCAGTCGCACAAAATTTATTCGCCATATTACAGTATTATATAACTTATTTCCATGAATGAAGTGTATGATGATTGAGAGGTTGTCGCGTCGGCTATACTCAAGAAATTATGGACTAAACTATAGTGTTTGGATGTTAATTTATAATCTTGTTTCAATGTTTGTATCTATTTTCATATGCCTCATCACTGAGGTCTCTTAAAAACTTACTTGTTCCTATAAAATGTTTTTATAGCTTATTCTGGAAGAAAATACACTTGTGCGTTTGGTATTTTTTTTTTTTGTACGAGTTTGATTGAAGACCAGAGTATCTTTTTATATAATCTTCTTATTTGTATTTTAAATTAGTCGAACAAAATTTCTTGCTGGCGCCGGGAGATCCAAACATTACCACCCAAACAACCAAATTACATTTTTGATCTCGCGGCGCCAACAAAAAATTATGTTCGACTACTTGAAAAAACGAATAAGAAGATTATTAATAAAAAGCATGCTCTGGTCAAACTTGCATAAAAGAAAACTTGCATAAAAGATAACTTGCATAAAAGAAAAACTTCTGCCGAATTACATCAATTTTTTAGTACCCGAAGATCTGCGCTGAATTTAATTTATTTATGTAACTTTTCATGTCGTACCTTTAAAAAAATCAAATAGTGTGCTAGTTTCTAAGCTCTAAGTTTATTTAAATTACGACTGGTAAATGTAGGACATGTGTTATGGAGAGTTAAAAATAAACCTGGCTAAGGATATTATTATTAGGGATATTATATTATCAATCAGCGATGGTCACTCATCAAGAAATTAAATTAGCGGTTTCATTGTTATTTTCTTCAAATTAAATATCCTGAACAAGCCGTAACCGCAACGACAATTTCTTCTACGATCGTCGCTATTCGTCTTGGCTCGCAATTTCAATGTCGGCTTAAAACTTTGTTATTCTGTTTGTTTAGTGAATTGAATACAAAGTTTCTTGATCAAATGACACAAAAAGAAACACAACTCCACCCAATAGCAAACGTAGGCCGAAGAATAAAATTTATTGCTTCGTGAACTGACGCCTTTACTACCGTGTTTTACTGCACGCAAGTTGTATCAATGAAACTGAGTAGCCAGACTGCATTAATCAAATACATAAAAATGAGATGAGGCTGGGATAAGCCCAGGATTTTAGGTCTTGCTTTTCGAAAATGCCAAATATGTCCAATTCTGCCATTTTCTAAAGCTACATGTTGAATATATTGCGAGTATTCAGTTAGAAAGTTCTTACAGTGATTGCTGCGATATTATTCAGTGAGTTGATATTCAGCGTGCTTTCGCAAACTTTTTTAGGGTAGAAAGGTGTCAGTTGGACTGCCTTATTTACCCTTCACGTGTAAGGCATGTTCCCGCACACCATATGAACGTGGTAACTTGCAGGACCCAACTTCAAATGTCAAGATATTGTCAGGATTAACTGTCCGTCAGTAAACTGAACCTTGAATGCAAAATTATAACGAAATTTACTATTTAATTTGGGAGGATCGAAACGAACGCGGTGGAGGTAACCTATGAATATTTATCCCAGTTTACTTTTATGCAATTCCGATTAACTCATCATGACTACGGTATATAAAATATAGTATATTTTAGACTAATTGGTAACCCGTTCTAAGCTTAGCTCACAATTGAATAATTATAAAATTCTTAGAGCGATGCCAAATTTTAACATAAGTTCTATATCAAGTATCTCCAGTTTCAGCGATGAGAAGTCACTTCTTATTTCACTTCTGTTAAATCACACGTAATTTCTAATCAATTCTAATTTCGGAGCATGTAATTACTGCACGATGTTCGAATACAAAGTCGATTGAAGATAAATTTCAGGAAGAAATTGTAATATTTCCAACGATTATTTGAATATTGCATCAGACTCACGACCACGACATTGAACCGCTGTCTCGCTTGCCACCTTCAGTCCAGGGGACCAAAGAACCGCGGGAGGTTCTCAACGAGACCATCACACGCACGGTGCTGTAAGAATTCACCAGCATCATCATGCGATGTCCCGACGTTTGCACCAGCATCATGCGATGTCCCGACGTTTGCACCAGCATCATGCGATGTCCCGACGTTTGCACCAGCATCATGCGATGTCCCGACGTTTGCACCAGCATTCCGGCAGTGAATTCTGGCAGTGCTGTTGAAGAAGTGTGTTGGAATGCTCTGGAAAGCCTCGATGATGGAGGGAATTATTCCTGAGGGCCTAAAAGTAGGACTGATAACGCCAATCCACAAAGGAGGTGCGAGGGACAGACCCCAAAATTACAGACCTGTGACCTTGACCTCACATGTAACGAAGAGGCTGACCTGTTTAATAACGGACAACATGGTTTCCGGCGTAATCGTTCCTGTTTGTCACAATTACTGGAGCACCATCACCGTCTAGTGGCCCAGCTGGAAGAGGGAGCTGGCGTGGACGTGATATACCTGGACTTTGCTAAAGCTTTTGACAAAGTTGACCATGGGGTGCTCTTTAGAAAGCTGAGGCTGTTGGGGGTATGAGGAAGCCTGTTGAGGTGGATCCACAACTTCTACGTTTGCACCAGCATCATCATGCGATGTCCCGACGTTTGCACCAGCATCATCATGCGATGTCCCGAAGTTTGCACCAGCATCATCATGCGATGTCCCAACGTTTGCACCAGCATCATCATGCGATGTCCCAACGTTTGCACCAGCATCATCATGCGATGTTCCATACGTTTGCACCAGCATCATCAGACGATCTCCTGACTTTTGAACTAGCACCATCAGGCGATGTCCCGACACTATTCGATTGGAGACAGCTAAAACCTTCATAATTTAGGAGGCTCCGGCTATCAATCTGTTAACTACCAGTTTTTTCATGACTTTGAAATTATTTTTTGCGTCTGCAATTTTGTAACTTGTGTAAACATTTAAATTTATCTTCATTGTTAGGGTTAATTGTACACACTGTTTATTTTTATTATTTTAATCAATTTGTGACTTTGGTTTAGAGGAAATTCAAAGTCATTGTGAAATGTCACTAGCACATCTTTGTTTACCGCTTGTCAGAAGGCAGCAGTCATGGTTGAATTAATACATTAATTAATACGTATTAATTCAACCATGGCAGCAGTGTCCGCAACATCTCCAGCTTTAAACCTCGTAAGTTACTTGATTCGTTGTAATTGGTAAATTTTTCTGAAATACGTGCTACACTGTTGAATTAATTAATCTAGAATATATTAATAACAAACACCATTTATGCTGACGAGGTTTTCGTGAAACGATGAGTTGCTCCTTGTGAATAGGAATTACTAGAGTTGACTGATTTAAAATTTAGATGAAGCTACGTTCGTTTCGAAGAGGAGGTGAGTTGCAAATACTGTACACTTGAAGTGTATTGTTTAGAATTGATAACGGTTTCCAGACATGATACAAGACTTTTCTTTAATTTAAGTTTCTTCAAACAGTTCGGAAATGAGGTAGGCAAAAACAGTGTTTTTGCATATTTTATTCCAGTTTTTAACACGTTTTTCTTAACTCAGCTTCGCGTTTGTTTGTTTGTTGTTAAAATTGACAACGAAAATTAGCCCACTTCTGATTGCTATAGAGATCTGAAACTCGGCATGCAGGCCATTTTCGTCTAACAATTTCAGATGCAATCATAAAAACTAGCAATTAGAGAACTAAATTAGCTTAATTGAGTAAAGTATATATACAAGTATATATATAGTTTGACGTGCGGGCGCTCACGTTATAGACGAGCAGGCGCTGACGCTGCGTATCATGGATACGTACGTCAAGTCATACTTAATAAAGTCATTAGATAAAATAGAAAATAAACTATATAAAAACTTTTTAAAAACCACGTTTTTCATACTTAGCAACGGACTAAAAAGAGACGCTTTTTAGTCCGTGTAGCAACGGACTAAAAAGGAGAAAATAAAATACTTAAAAAAAAAACTTTTTAAAAAACCACGTTTTTCTTGTAGACTAAAAAGTAGAAAATAAATTATGGCTCCCCCCCAAAAAACGTGGGTCGGGCTGTACGTTCACCATCAAATTTCCAAAATTCGTGTGTTGTGTGCTTTTCGCTTTAATCATAAATCTGCCCGACCCACGTTTTTTGGGGCGAGCCCTAATTTATTTTCTACTTTTTAGTCCACAAGAAAAACGTGTTTTTTTTAAAGTTTTTTAAAAGTATTTTATTAATTGTTCTCCTATATGATCTTGAACTAATGCGTGGTATTTTACGCTTAATACAATTAATTTCCCTTGACAGGTGAAGTATCTTATTGTAGATAATATAGGAGAAGACATGGAAACATTTAAAAATGAAAGCAATTAAAGTTTTTACTA